CTGCGCCGCTCAGAACGCGAGTTCGCCGGAGACCATGCGCATTTACATCAGCAGGAGCCGGGGGGGGTGTGGTGTGTCGTAGGTCCTGATTACCTAGGCAGTACAGTACAGCTCTGCTGAGTTTTCAGTCAAAAAACACAGGAGCCGTGGTACCGCGATTTGACTCCTGACAAGGCGGAAGAGCTTGTAAACACCGCCGTGATTGACGAGAAAGCCCACGAAAATGTCATCGAGGAGCTGGCACAAGGATCACGGCCTTCTGCCTTCACACTAGCAGCAATATCTCAACAGACACGAACGCTGGCCGGATACGTATACGCCTCTTTCGCAGATGAGACCCTGAAGATCGGGCAACTGAAAGTGGACCGCACTCATCAAGAACGTGGACTTGGTGGTTTACTGATCAAAGCGGCCGAGAAGAATGCGGAGAGACTAGGCGCATGTATTTCGAAAGTGAAACTTACTGTGCTGGAGACTAATGAAGGCGCGCAGCGATGCTACGCCAAGTCGGGTTTCAAAGTGTGCACGACATACAAGTCCAGTTTTCCACCATGTCCTTGCACGGCTACTGGAATCCCGTGCCACCATAAAAGAATCCGGTGGCTGAACATGGAGAAAGCCGCTTGACAGCACGACCTCAAAACAGGCTGCTTCTTCCTGCGTCCCCGGTGTGGTCTTCATCGTCTTAGCGAGTTGTCAACCTTTTGGCTCTGCCCTAAAACGCCCTAAACCGTCCTAAGCCCTCAACCCTCAAACCTACAACCTAAAACCCCACAGCCCTAAGAACCCTAAACCTTGGACACGCAGACTTCAAGAAACCCTCAACCCTGATCCCCAAACCCTAAGCCCAAAGCCCCTAAACCCTAAACACTAAGCCCTGAACCCTAATCCCTAAACCCTAATCCCTAAACCCTGATCCCTAACCCCAAAAATCTGCAAGCACGGGTGGATGAAGGCTCCTTCACGCGAGCGCAGCGTCTGTCGAGCGGATCCCTCAGGGTTTAGGGTTTAGGGTTTAGGGTTTGAGGGGTTTGGGGGTTAGGGTTCAGGGGTTGAGGGCTTAGGGTTTGCCTGTCTCTGCGCGCCGCATGTTAAAGGGTTTTGGGCTTCAATGGCGTAGATTGCCGAGATTCCTTCAAGACTGGGGGTCTACAGTTTCACAATGTGAA